TCAAATATCAGTGGTCTAAAGTTTAGACTCTAAACTATACAAACCTATTTCAATAAAAAATTGATATATTATCGACAAAATTATAAAAAACTAAGAAAGAAAAAGTTTCTTTTTCATGCATTTTTTATTACTTACTAAAGAAATAAATTATAATTCATATTTTAAATATAGCAACTCAAAAAACTGAAAGTATTAAAAAAAAAACAGTTTTTTGACGAAATTTTTGACAGATCTACATGGAAGATTTTTATTTTACTTATTTTTGTATACTTAGTTGGTAAGTATTTTTTTAAAAAATGTTTCAAAGTTGTTCTATTTTTTTCGTTAAAAACGGTGTTCGGTGAACCGTGTGATGTTTGTTAAATATTCATAAAGTTGAACATTAGGAAATTCAGTATTTCAAAATGTACCCGATTTAGGGTTATTTGTCGTAAAATGTACTTGTGTACCATGAACGAAAAAATGTACCCAATTGGGTACAATTGTACCCAAACGGCAACACTGCACAGCATCAAAAAAAATATTTATTTCAAATAGCTTGTTTTAAGACAAGAAAAATGATTAGTCGTTCGTCGAAATCGCTCAATTGGAACCAAAGTTTATGATCGATGACATATTGGCAAAATCGTTATAATCATGAAAATTTAAAAAATCAAATCTTAATTTTTAATTGTGACGGGCGGGATAAAAATTACCGTGTAACGTGGAATGACCCATAACGCTGTTTGAATTAAGACGACTTATTTCTTTTATTATTTTTAATGAATTAAATTTAATTTTTAAAAATGTTTACAATTTTCACTAAAATGTGTATTTATAGTATCCAATATACAGGGCTTTCCAGAAATCCCGGGACGGAGCTATAACTTTTAAAGGAGTGAAGAAAAAAAGAAAAAAATTGGGGATCCCTATACATTACACTACATAACCTTTAAAATTAAATTAAAATTTAAAAAAACTTCACGTTGCATAAAAGTTCTAAACTATCTATCACTCCCTTAAAAGTTATACGAGTAGCTCCGTTTGACAGCTGATTATTAAAACTTGTAGTTTTGTTACGATGGTAACGGCCACGTGGTGGCGCTACTAGCGATACTTCTTTAGCGTATATTTGACAGGCTATTGGTTGATATATTTTTGTGAAATTGAAAAGAAAGGTTTTCTGTCAAAGAAGCCGAAGAGGTCATTTGGGAGATATTGCCTTCCATGTTTAATGGCAATGTTTGAACTTTGTTTTGTAATAAATATGTCATCCTTTATTGAAAAAAATGTGTTTTATTCAGAAATTATAATTACACCTCCCGTTGGCACACCTTTTATAAGTTATAGTGACAAGAGCCTGGAATAACCTTTTACAGGTAAAAATGTGTGTATATACAATATACCTACTATTAATATTGATGAACTCAAAATTCGCTTGTATACCTATTTCGTTTTAAGATAATAAATATCTTTATGTTCTATGTTAAACCAGTTTCTAAATTAACAAATATGCAGCCTTTTATTTAAAATGATCATTTGTAATTAAATTATGCATGAAACTGTTGGATTTTTTTCAGTAGCGTGTACGAGTATATTATTTATTTGCATTGTTTAATTTAATAGTTTATTTAATATATTTTCTTATTATTCAGAAATAAAAACATTTTAATTGTAAGTAATTACCACAAAATAAACATTTGTTCTTAAGAATTAAATTCCTTGGTAAAACTTATGCGATACGCTACTGGTTTTGAGGTTAAACTCAACAAACTTTTCTTAAGTAATTCGAATTAGCGTTTTTTTACATTTTTGGTACAATGGAAAAAATAATGTAATAAATTAAATTAAAAATCACTTTGAATCAAAAGATTTGCGCTTTTGAATAGTACCAAGAGCTATGTTTCTAAATCAGAAACCATCTTTACCTAATTTTTTTTAAATTACTTGAGGGGAGAGATTTATCTATTCGTTTAAGGATATTATAATATTAGCTTAAATCAAAAGCAAGCGATGTCTTGGTACAAGAACAAAAAATATTTCTTTGGAAGATATTTCTCTTTTGAATAAAGAAAACGTTTTTTATCGCAAAAAATGAGATTTTAACAAGAAAACTGCATCTCCTAATTGAAAAGCTTAGAAACTTTCTAAGAAAGAAAATTTGTCTTGTTACAAAAGCATATTCTATTGACCTAACCACATTTTATTTTGATTTTAGAGCAAATATCTCTTGGCCCAATAGTATGTATTTCTTTATTCAAAACAATTCGACAATCGTTGAAAACTGGAAGAAAGGAAAAAAGGTTTACAACAAAAAAATATTTAAATAAAATAAGACATTTATTGTTTGATATCAACAAAAGCGCAAGTTTTTTTATACTAAAACCCATAAACTAACATAAATATGATTTAACACAAAATTTTTATTACATATTTTATTTAAAACCTTACCTTAAAAACATTAAACAAATTAATTAAATTTCATTTATTTGAAAAGAGTTTTAATGATTCCAACTCCTCCTGAAAGTACATACAAAACGCCAGAACAAAACACAACCGGCAAAATGTATATTAGAAATACCTATAATAGAATTATAATATTGTATCACTGCCCCTAGAAGAGGTTAGATAAAGTTCTTAGTGGAAGAAGTTTTCTTGAAAACAAATACAAAAACTATTGAAGATAGAAAAACGATTCAAAATCCAATAGCTCCAGAATTTTTCGTAGAATTCAAAATTGCAATAATATTAATAGGGTTTTATTTGAAAAACAAAGCTTCTGTCGGCTTGCTTTCCAAATATCTGGCTGTATACCCAAATTAAAAATAAATATTTTACAGGGGTTAGTCGCAAACAAATGGGTCACACTGTATATAATATTATTTTGCCATGAATTCCTAGATATATTTTGTCATTTACAATTTTAAAATGTACAATGTACATTGTACATATACTATACTTGTCGGCATTTTTTAGAGGACTTGATTATACACTCAGAAAAATGTACATGCACTGATAATAAAACTAATTTTGTAAGCGATTAATAAAATAATATTATTTAACTTAAATTTAAAATTGTAATGGCTATAAAAAAATTTACCACCTAAGGTACCTTTTTTATTAAATTTTCAGTGTCTTATTGGGACAAAAACCTACGATTTGTCAAAGTAATAAGATTATTTTTATTTACAGAATAAACTTTTTTTACTGTTAATAAAATTCTTATTTACTATATGAAGCAGCAATGTTGAGCTTCTACAAAAAAAATGTTCATCCAACAAAGTAATAGTTGTTATCATATTGTCATGGCAATAAGAAATTCTTTATGTTTATATTAAATCTTTGTCGAACTTAAAATGATTTTGTTAAATCTATAGTTGTGTGTGAATTGCGCTTACATAAAGTAATGTGCAGTTGCTATAGTAAAATTTGTTCATTTTACTATGTCATATTTGTCTTCTTTAAATTACTATCGTTGTAATTCAAATTAATTTTATTTCAGTTAGAAAATCTTTGTTAATAGCTTATGTTAAGAAAAATAACAAAAATATTTTATTGTTATAAAAAGACTTTTTTAATATTTACTATTGTTTTGCAATGGTAACAAAATTTTTGTTATTTCCCTTAAAAAGAGGGGGAAAGGGCCAGAGCTCTCCTTGGTGAACATACCTTATAATCCAGTCTGTGTTATAATCTTATTGATTTCACTTGTGCGAGTGAAGTGTGGTAAAATCTAGCATGATAAAAATATCAAAAAGATCACTAAGAAAATTAAAATTCCGACGTTTTGTATACAGAAATATTTAAGGTCTATTCTATAAACGAAGCAGACTTGTTTAAAAAGTGAGTTCGTATTTTTTTATTTTGTACATCATATAATATGAGTTAATTTTTTTGTTATAATAAATAATTTGTTTTAATGCCTCGCAATTATTTAAAAAAAACTACCCAACACCCAACAGTAGGTTGAAAATTTGACCATTGTTACAATGAAAATAGTTTATTGAATTAACAATTAATTTGTTGTTAAATTTACATAAATTTTATTAAAATAATAAAAAAAGTTTTATTTTAAACGAAAAGGGATTTGTAAAATTTACAATATTTCTATGAATAATAACATTAGGGTTTCATTAATACTACAAAACGTTTTTGTTATCGGTATAGAACTGTTTTTTTGGACAAATAATAAAAACTGTATTTATCAATGCGTTTCTGCATCTGAAAGAGTGTTATTTTTATAAACATAACGTAAATTTACTTTATAATTAATACAAATGCTATTACCGAAAGCAGCGTTTGTAGATAAATAATTTTTATAAAAATGATCTTTACTTTATTAAGACAAACTACTTTTTTTGTTATATTTATTAAAAAATTTTCTGAGTGTAGGGTTACGTTTGTACAACTATTTTTTTTTTTGATTTCTTAAAAATGTCCAAACTTAAATATACCTACCGAATTGGATCATTTGGCAAAAAAAGAAAATGCAACGATTTAGTTCTTTAATTATATTTACAATTAAAAACACAAAAATTCACTATAATCACTTGGATAAAATACACGCACTAACTATAAAATCATATAAGCGTTAAGTTTCTTAATGTGAGGAATAATAAATCTAAATCGAGTACTAAACCAAAGTTTTTTAGTTTTTACTTGCAACGCAAACCAAATAACGTGCGCGATTTAGCTGTGCAATGGAAACTTTGCGAACAAAATTTGTTGTGTAAGACTTCTGCCTTCCCCTCTCTTTTGAAAAAAATAAAAAAAACCGATGCTTTAGCGTATTACCAATAATTATAATGTTTTTCAAACTTGGTATACACGTCGATAGTATTCCACACAGGTTGTTTGGTATTTCCTTTTACTTTTTTGCCACTTTGAATACCAATAACTTTCTTATTTCAATTAAAACGATCATACATTTCGGGGATATGTTGTAAAATGAATATTTACAGAAATACTACACTAATTATTGAATATTATTAGTGAAATTATGGGTTTTAATCAAACGCTTAAATATTTTGACACGACATAAAAATATGTATAATTATCAAAACATATCACTTTATTATTATAGGACGTCTGGTACAAGTTATGGTTTACATTTACATACAAACATTTATCACATTTTATCACAGTACTATTTTACATAAATCACAATTACAATTTATTGCAATTTACAAGTCTTTTTATAAATCGCACTTAGTGCGAGTTTCTGGGTTTTTATTCGTTATCACCTTGATCATGGTCAACATAAATTTATTTTCTTCGACCGGAACCCTTTCACCCACCCAAGAAAAGTTTGTAACAAACCGATTTGCTAGCTCTCTTATATTGTAGAACTTGAATAAAACTGAAGTTCCTTCTTTATCGACTTCGCCTTTATGGTTTGTTCCATACGGACAGTACAAGTAATATCTAGAACAAATATTGACAATTTTAACGTATCCATATATTATATGCTTTAAGGATTTATCCATTTATTTTATGCTCCAAGATACTTAGATACCTTAAGAGTATATAAAAGTGTTTCACGTTTGTGATCCATTAGAAGTTTCTGGGAAACGAAAAAAGATATCGATTTGAAATTTTAAAAGCGTTTATAATCCATTGAAGTCTATTTTTCTAAAATATTTTAAACAAAATACCCCTTCCGGTTATAGAACAATATATTTTTACATTTCTAAATTCTACATAAAATTCTGAGTAAAATCATTATAACATGTCCCATACGGTATAGGCTATACCAAAACTGAATATTTTTTGAGTTATTAATTTTTTCGGTAAAATTTGACAAATGCGCATCAATCATAAATAGACTATAACATTTTTGTTATTAGGTTTGGGGATATGGCGATGGAATTTTTAGAATCTTAAAAAATTGATTAAAAGATTCCATATCAATTCTTTAACATTTTTCAACAAATTACCTACAAAACCCAAGGCAAATTAGGCTGGGTTAATAACTTTTTCATTTTAAATATAACACCCGGTATGTTTGAACATAATCAAATAGTAAATTACAAAATCTTTCGATTAATAATAATTAATAATTTAAGAATTTTAAATATTATTTCAGAAACCTCTGACGGGTGAGTTGACGGTATCTATGGCTTCAATTTTTTTGAGGTCTTTATAAACAGTGTTTTAGAATAGTATATTAAAGAACTAATGTCATAAGACGTCATTTTGTCGCACGCGGACAATTAGAATGTACGAGTGCGACAAAAGGTCTTATGACATGAGTTTTTTATGCTATTTTTTTATATAAAAATTAATTTTATACCTTAAATTTAATTTGATGGAATTTTACTTTAGATAGTTACAGTCATTGGTTGGACAGTTAATGTCAAAATCGATTCGCCATGCCGTCCTTAATTTACTTATTTACAATAAGCGGCTGTTAATGTTAAAGAAGAAAAAAAGGATTTTCTTTGGTGTTAAACAAAATTTATTGCCAGAAAAGTCTCGTAAGTACTAGAAAAATCATAAAAATATGCAAAATATTAGGCTGTTTAAAGTATAGCCAACCTATAAAATCAAAATTTTGGGTGGGATAAAGTATCTCATTACCGCACCGAAAGCGGTGTTATAATGAAGTCATTATGAACGCAAAATAGATAAACAATATTAATGATAAAAAACATTGACAAGCCAAGCCAAGACATTTTAAAATTTATACAAACAGTATGTGCTAATTTTGAAAAAAAACTCAACAAAGCTGTAGGATTTCAACTCGATAAAGCACGCATTGAAAACAATAAAATATAAAATTTATATTATGAAATATTTTAATAGCAAAAAGAATGTGTAACTGTAATAATTTAATTAACCAACAATGTTTTAATTAACAAATTTTATTACTAATTTAATTCTAAATATTTAAAGTGTCGTCCATTTACATTCAAGCATTTCTTAATTCTTACGTCTACATTAGATATTGCTCTTCTCGACTAAAATATTGTTGGTTTATTAAATTGTTACAGTAACGCATTCTTTTTGTTATTAAAATATTTAATTAAATAAATTTCATATTTTATTGTCTCCAATGAGCCAGTGCTTCATCTAGTTGATATCCTACATTTTTGTTTAAAAGTTGACATCTTAATTTTTTTTAATTGGCAAATACTGTTTGTATTACTTACAATTTTAAAAATGTTTGGCCTTTCTAATTTTTTTTAAAAGTAAATAACTGCTATTTTTTATAAGTAATTTTGTTTACGAAAAACTTAGTCAACAAGTTGTGCATAAAATTGATGCCATTCAATTTTGAAAAATGACATTAAGTGGTAACCATAGATACTGTGAACTTAAATTATAAACATTAGGTATAGGGAATGGTTACATCAATCGAAATGTTTTTAACATACTATTTGATTATGTAAAAAGGGTGTTACATTTAAAATAAAAAATTTATTAACTTTTTAAGTTGGTCTAATTTGTCATGGGTTTTTTTAGGTAATTTGTAGAAAAATGTTAAAGAATTGACAAGGACTCTTTTTAACATTGTTAAAATTAATAACTCAAAAACTATTCACTTTAGGTTTGGACAAGGTATAGTAATTTTATTTAGAATTTTATGTAGAATTAAAAAATGTAAAAATATTTGGGGTGTCCTATTTGAAATAACAAAGTTAATGTCACTTCCGGTTAAACCGGAAGTGCCATTTTTTTTTAAATCGATATCTTTTTCCGTTCCCCAGAAACTTCTAATAGACCACAAATGTAAAACACGATGTATATCTTACTTTTCTGATGAGTGGAAAACGCAGAAAAATAATCCCAGATATTCCATGATAATAAAATTTTCCGCAAACTTTGCATCCATAAATAGTTGTTCCAATCTCCAAGATATCTGGGGCGGATTGGGCTTCCCAGGCATCATGGGCTTGTAAATTACAATATTAATTTTCTCGTCTTTCAAAAAGAATTTTCTTAGGACACTATGGTAACCAATCTTCGGGTTTTCACTTCTGTAGGTCAAGTATGAATCCAAATATAGTTGAGTACCTAAAAAAATATTAATATTAAAACTTTGTCCACATACACTGAGAAAAGTAAACTCTTATTTTAATGTTTTAATTGGGTCGTTTTCAAAAAACACCCGCCTTCCGCTGTGCGTAAGTTTGAATTCCAATAACTTTGTTAAAAATTATCGGATCTTATTGATTTAAAAACCAAGTGAAAGCCTAACAAGCCCTTAGTAAACTCTTTCAGAAAATTTTTGTTCAGTTATTTTAGAATATATTTTTTTTAATTTTGAAACTTGTGAAACACATTTTCGCATGTCCCATTAGCGTTTTATAAAACTTACATAGATGTTTTTTTTTAATATTGAATAACCAGAACTTTGTGTTGCTTTATAGCAATCCATAACTTCCTTAGTTAATACAGTAAACAATTTATATATAAAATAATTTTAATCTACTTTTTTTTAATTTGACTCATGTCCCAGACATTTTTTCCGTTGCGTTACGTCCGTCGCGTTACCGATAGAATATTTTAAAAACATATATATGGCAACTTTTTTGGTACTCACGTGATCAACAAATGATGTTCGGACGTACACATTACCCAGCTGAATTTATTTATTCAATCAGGAAGAAGATATCGGTTGAAACAGGTGCGGGTAATGCGAATATAATAATTGTTTGTCCGCTAAGTTACTCAAAAAAATAATATAAATAAGGTAAGAAAAAATACTATTTTTCATGTTTATGTTTATGTTTATTTAAGTTACTCAAAAAAATAATATAAATAAGGTAAGAAAAAATACTATTTTTCATGTTTATGTTTATTTTAGGGCACTAAAGCTCATTGAGAGTAATTAATGACTATAATGTCTTATTATTATTTTTTAAATATGGTTTTACAAAACTTTGTAATGGAATTTAGGGTAACGCAATAGAATTTTTCGACAACAAAGTGGATATTTACCGTCGCTTTTATTAAAAGTAGTTTATGATTAACCAATTTAAAATTATTTGTAATTACAACTCATGATATAGATTGCATCCAAGGAAAAAATCCACGCAATATAAAAGTACTAAAAGGGACCTTCACCAGTCAAAGAAAAAGGGTGTCTACAATTTAGAAATCTAAGTTGTTATTCTGCAAGTGAGCACCACTACAAGGGATTTTGTTTATGCATTACTCTAAAATCGTACCACCCTATATAGTTTCTTTTTTACGTTATCTGATTAAGTCCATTGTGTACCCCTGTCCGTTGTGATACCAATGTCTATTTCGTTACTTTTTTTAGTTTTTGTTAAAAAAAATACATAAAATGATTTTCATACACTATCACTTGGTAATACGTGTTTATAAATTAGAGTTTCCAGTGACTAAAAGAAAATATTAATGGTATTGTTTTTTAACAAAGAATCGGAATGGTTTCTTTTAAAAAGTAACTTAACGAACATACATATTTAAAAAAGCATACAATTTTTAATAAAAAATAAAATAAAAAATTGTCATGAGTCAAAAGTTTGTGAACTAAGTACATTATATTTCAAATTATTTTTATAACAACTTTTTTTATTGAATTAAATTTTGGATTTCAAATTGGTAACACAGTGAAGATATATAAAGCTAGCTAAACACATTTTTCTGAAAAAAACGTAAAAAAATTGAAAAGTGCACTGCCTGTCTTAAATGTAACTAAACAACTCTAAACATTTATAAAAATCCAACCAAAAGTCAATTTAAGCAAAAAAAAATATTTTGATCTTCATTTTCCTAAAAGCGGGTGTTTCTTGAAAATGACCCAATTATTAACTGAACAGTTTTTGCACATTCAATACGAACAATGTGCATACCAATTATTGTTTTATTTAAAAGTCTCACTACAGTTTTTTACATTAAACTCGTAAAGTTTTTGAATATGGGGCAAAACGCGCCAAGTGTTCCCACTAAAAATTTAGTTGTTTCCGATTTTGATGAAGCTTTGTTAAATCATTGTCCTCTCGGACTACTTAAATTAAGCAAAAGGGAAATATAATTGACTTATCTTTTTTTTCGTGCTTTAAGATGGTGGTTTCAAAAGCAAAACAAAATTTATTGCCTAAGAAAAATTGATATAAATATTATTATTACTATTTCTCAAATTTTAAATAGGATTAAATTAGGCGAAAACGTGTGTTATGGTATGTAATAAGTATTAGTTTAATAAAATAAAATAAGTCTGAACAAGATAATATTTATATTGTATAATTAATAAATTATCCCCATTTATGGTAAATAGACAACAAATAATACGTCGGCTGAGAATTGGTTTGTTCTATCTCCCAAAACCTGAAAAGGGAGAACAAGCTGTTTAATGTTTCATTTATTACTTACTTCTGCATTTTAAAACATATTGCAATAAAGTTTTATGTAGTAAATTCAATTAATTACATAAAACTGTATTGCAATATGTTTTAAAATGCAGAAGTAAGTTATAAATGAAACATTAAACAGCTTGTTCTCTAGAACAAACCAATTTTCAGTCACGAATTCGCAGAAAATTTAATTTTAAAGTAAGAAATTGCACGGGCACGGGCAAAATCGGCTTATGATGCCCAATGATGAAAATATTGGATTAAAAGGTGCATATTTTTTTTATTTAAAAACTGCTATTGTAGCATGTTTAACACAGTTCGGTGTCTTTAACTTTAAAAGTTTATTTTTTTCTTACTTTAAAATTACCTTTTTTGTATATATCTTGTTTCCCCCTTATTTTATTTTATTAAACTAATAATTACCACATACCATAACATATATGTATACGTATACGTATTCGCGTGATTTAAAAGTTAAAAAAATAGGAAATAGACTTTAAAAGTCAAATTTAAATTAGGTAGAATTAAAATTTGGGACAAAACACATTTTGCAAGTCTGCTCCTCAAGTGGCCGATCGTGAGTTATGTGAAACTTCAAGTGCAAGAAGTTGTTCCTTTTACCTGAATCCATAATTATGTCAAGTGTCGAGCAGCTCCATGTTTCGATTGCTTGAAGCTCCGACATGACAGCTGCCATGATGCAGCAGGTTAAGTCCTGGAATCCTCTGCAGTTAGCTTCGTATTGCTTGTCCTCCAGATTTCTGTAGGATCTCAGGATTTCTCCGGGCATGACGCAGTGATAGTTGTATCTGCCCAATTGGTCGATCTCTTTTAGGCGACGCAGTTTCTCCTGTTGTTCGTTCTAAAAAAAATTGTAGGTTATAAAATAGAAATAGCGTCAATAACATAACTAAAATATATACAAAATAAAATATATATAACAGTGATATAAAAATTACTGACTAAAAAATGTATATAAAAATATACGGTACTTTTTTTACAAATAATTTTTTTGTAGACATTTTGACAAATTTTGACACTACCATAAAAATATCTATCACATCAGAAATGTTTGGATTTATAAAAAATATTAAAAAAATTAAATTTTAATCATAAATTTAGTACAAAATACATTAATCAATACAAATTATATTTCAGAAAAAAACCAAGAAACCAAGGGCTGTAAAATATTAAACTATCAGAATTTTTAAAACATTTATGTTTGATAAACCACATTTTAGTCACACATTTAATTTAGGCCAGTTCGAGTTTGCGAGCGAGTGCTTAATTAAATAAGGTCCTAGAAAACTTTATAATTGTTGCTTACTATACTTTTTCAACGACAAATACTATATTAAAAATTATTTAAATTAAATATTTGTCTAAAGTGACATCTATACGTGTAAAATACACATTTTTGACGTAATTTTCACATTTTATTATTTTAATTAAACTTATTATACTAAAATATTTAAATAACTTCAAAATATGATTATGTTAGGAAAATAATTTATCCTTTGATTTTTTTATTACTATAATTGCAAAATATTATCACAAAGTATTAAAAATTCTTACACGAGAAATGTTAAAGGTAAAAAAAGTGACAGTTGTATTTATTGGAATTTTTGTTAGAATTTTTAACTTTGGAATCTATCGTGTTAAAATCTCTTTCTGTGTAAATCAAAATTCATCCCTTTAAAATAGACTAACAATCGATATATTGACAGTTTTTCACAGTATACGCAAAATTTTTAACGCTTTATCAGTTAAATCTTAGTTAACGGCGAAATCAAAAGGTCAGATTTAATCTTTTCAAATATTGGCGTCAAGAAACTATTTAATACTTTTGTATTTTTGTATTAAGATAATAATAGTATATTATGTATCAAGTTTGATAAACGCCATTTTATACACGAATTTAATTTAGGCACGAGCGAGCTGCGAGCTTAAGTTAATGAGTGTATAGAAAAGTTTATAAACGAGGTGCATACTATACTTTTTCTACGTTAAATACTTATTATTATCTTAAAATAATTTAAATCAAAAAGTTGTATACAGCGCCATCTATGAAACAACAGGGGAAACTGTCAAATGTCACATTTTTACATTTTATAAACACAATTATAAAGGTTATAACTCAAAATTTATCTTGAAAATTGACAGTTTTTCACAGTGAAAGTAAGAGAAATTTTTTATGAGGACTTTACAGTAGAGTCCATGCGCGAATTTAAGTTATAGTTTACTGCCTGCGAAATTAAAAGGTCATATAAACCTTTCAAATATTGGCGTTGAGAAACTATTTAATACTTTTGTATTTTTGTATTGAGATAATAAAATAATTTTCACATTTAGTATTATTTTACAAGAAAGGCACTTTATTTTAACGATTGTATGACATTTGACAACTGTGACTAAAAAGCTGTTGCGTGATTAAAGCGCCATAAAACCACAACTTGTCATTGTGTATTTAAAAGGTCACTAAGTGTCATGGCAACATGTACGCTAATATGCGTTTTAAAGGTGGGAGTAGAAAAAATAATTTAAAAATTAATAATTCTTTTTTTCTTTTTATTATGAATTTTAATCAAATGTATGGATTATAATCGAAGTTATGGATTTTATTCATACGTTTAAAATGCTTGTTTTGGTCTGAATTGGGGGAACCTTGATTAATATCTTACTTACCATTTTCATGAAGGCACTAATATCTTTCTTCTTGGCCATGCTCATTTGACAAGTTTTGGCAGCTTTTACAGCTCCGCCTTTTTTGCTTTTTTTACCACCTGCCACCACTTCGACAGCAGTTAATACAAACTCGCCGTCCTCATTCATATCAGCGCTCAGAATATCTAATAATAATGATAACGATTTTATATTTTTTTCGGACTTTTAGGAAATAATATTCTACCTTTGATATGCTGACTGACAAATAGAGTGTCGTGTACGAAATATAGGGCACAGGGTTTTCCTCCATACGCTATTGGCATGCCTGTTGCTCCCCTAGGTACCGGATCGTACAGATAAATTAGAGGTTTATCGTTTATAGCATCGTAATCCTCCCAAACTGAAATAGTGTAGCCTCCTATCTCCAAAATACCGTGAGTGTTGGTTTTAAAGAGGCTCTCCAGTGCTAAAAATTAAAAAGTATGGATGTTGTGCAAAATCATGGATTTTGAGCATAATTATAGATTCATTATTCTAACTCCGTTATTATTGGAGCTACAAACTCTGATTAAATCCGATTTAAATGACAGAAAAACAATTGAACGTCGGGTTTCCAAAATATTCACAAAAATAACATTTTTTAAGGTAGCAATATCTTGTAGCAGATCCAATAATAACGAAGTTAGGAATGGTAAGCAGATAACTTTGGACACCCTGTAGATTTTGAAATGCGCGTGTTTTGTTGTAACTAGATTTATGGATTTTAGACAATACTTGATATAAAATTATGGGTTTAATCTTAAAAACAATGGAGGCTATGATAAATAAAATACTAAATTTAAATACATTAACATTTAAAAAAAAATGTTAAAACAATCAATATTCCAGGAAACATATATAATAAAAATAGAAGGTTAGTATTAAATTTAAATATAAATTAATCCCGGCGCATTCGCCATTTTTTTAACTTAAATAAATTAATAAATGCATTATTTTATTATAAAACAGTAAATACCAACTTTTCCATAGGTATAGTATGGATTTTATTTATAAATTATAGATTGTAATTGCCAATTATGGATCATAATTGCCAATTACCAAAGGATTTTAACCATCTAAGGTTGTTATGGTTCAAAAACGAAAATTGGAATTTTAAAACCTAAATTTAAGAAATCATTAATATAAAACAAATTGTTATTAAAATTAATTTTATTTAAAACACATAATTGCGTAAAATAAAAACTTAATAAATTAATACTAAAAAAAATAAAAACCATGGTGCACGTTTTAACGAACTTAAAAGTATAAAATATTAGAATATGTTCTATTAATAATATAATTGTCACTTTTTAATGTTTAGTGACTGTAATGTTATGTTGAAAAAAATGTATTTTTGACAAAGCTATCTGTTTTTGGACATAATAATAAAAAATCTGCCAAGTACCCAGTAGCAACGATTTTAAAGCCAAATTAAAAATGAACAATTTATTTACAAACATTTATTCTGTCAAGTTATCCATGAAAAAAACATTGCAATAAAATTAAACTAATTGAAACATGGTATTAATATTCCTTTGCTTAGTTTTAACAAATAAAAACGGAATAGGACACCAATAAAATAAAAAAAAGAGAATTCGAAAAATTCTCTACAATTAGATTTTCGTCACCTCTACTTTTTAACTATAAAATTCTAATTTTGTTTTAAAACACCAACATAGTATATTATGGATCAAGTTTGATAAACGGCATTTTAGTCACAACTTCTTATCAGGCACGAGCGTTTAATTAAATGTGTTTATAAACTACTACTACTATACTTTTTCTACTTTGTGTTTTTGTATTGAGATAATAAAATAATTTTTACATTAAGTATTATTTTAGTAAAAAGGCACTTTATTTTAAAAATTGTATGACATTTGAATTTGAATTAAACACAGTGTGTCCAGAAAACATACAAAAAAACTGGATGGTAAAGGATAAAAAACATTTTTTGCCTAATAACATATGTCCGCAAATAAGCCGTTGATTTACTTTGCCATCTTCATGATTTTATACGTTTTTTTAGTCCAAATTGATTCTAATAGTATGTAAAATTGAACCGAATATTTAGGGTTTTTCCAAAACGCCATCGCCTGTGTTATGTCAAAATGCGCATTATCCAACTGACCAATGCTTCCAGTTTAAACGCACGTGTTGTTTGTTTATTTTGTTTGTTTGTTTTGGTACTATTTTTACTAAAATTAAAATAAAAGCCATTCCAAAATCAGCCTTAATCACCTTGTTATTCCGAACGCTTATTTTTTTAACGTTTTTAATAACACAGAATTTAAAAGTATTTTTCTGCTTCCACCTTTAAAATGCCCATTATCGTACGTAGGTTTCCATGACACTAAGTAAACACGGGCTGAAGTTAGCAACATGTTTTTAGTCACGGTAGTTAGTTGACAGTTGTCAAATGTCATGCAATCATTAAAATAAAGTGCCTTTACAAAAATACAAAAATATTAAATAGTTTCTCAACGCCAATATTTGAAAAGATTATATAAACGTTTGTACTAATTACTTTTGATTTCGCCGGAGTAGTGCAGTTAACTAGATATAATTGATAAAGCGTTAAAAATGCGTACAGTGCCTTCTCTTTTACTGTGAAAAGCTGCTTCTATATCGATTGTTAGTCTGTATTCGGATTATAAATTTTAATTTTCTCAGAAAAAATTGAGATTCCCATCCCAATAAATACAACTGTAACTTTTTTTAATATTTTCCGTGTAAGAATTTTTCGCAAGCTCGCTCATGCCTAAATTAAATTTGTGACTAAAATGGCGTTTCTCAAACTTGATTTATAATATACTCTTATATTTAAAAAGTATTTTTTTGCTGAAAAGTCGTTTAAACAGTTTTTTCTGTTAGCCACAAATTTGCCAAAGTGGATAAGACGAGTTTTATTATGACCCTACTAATTTAGTAGTTATAATCAAAGATATTATCTTTGGTTATAATTAATTTTTATTTTATTGTTATGGAAACAACTTGAATGTAGCTGAGTTTGACTTTTGTAAATGTCTTTATTTAGTTTGGCACCACTGTAATAAACCATTTTTGTTATGAAAACAACTAGGCAGCTTAGTTTGACATTATTAAGACTACAACTTATCTATACTATATATAATAACATACTGGATTTTTTACATCCTTAGTTGAAAATCGTAATATGAATTTTAATCAACACCTACCTTGTCTCAAGTTCAACTGGCCACTTGATTTGCTGTTCACATTTCCAACCAACCCGGGCAGCCTCAAAATAACGTGACATTTTATGTTGCCCACGTTGAATAGGTTTTTTGTTTTTTCGATGATCAAGGGGTTGGCGGTGAGGTCGAAAGGGGGATCGTTTTCCCCCCTGCATTCCTTGAAGAGGTCGTCACCGGAATCTCCAATCTCCACGATCATAGGGTACGTCCATATCGAAGGTTTATGGATCAAACTCATAGCCAAGGCTATGAAATTGAAGGCGGCCGTTTTGACCGGCGCGAAGTTGCAGTTTTCTAGTGTGCCTGGAAATATTAAAATATATACAGACTGAATCAAGTAAGTAAGGCTGGAGACAAGGATGACAAATTATATTCTGATCAGAGAAAAAGAAACAAACTTTAATTGGGCGTGGTTTAAACCAAGCCATTCGTAATTACGAACCATAGTTGCCAGGTTGTTTTAAATCAGAAGAGAACGATTATAATTATTTAATAAATAGTTCAATTTTATTTGTTTGAAACTTTAAAAATAACAAAAAATTAATAATATGTCAAAAATAATTTGATTTACTTAATTTTCTTACTTTTAATATTAAAAAATAAGAAAAACAACCCTTTTAGGAAACAATAATAGCATATGGCAACAGCGGGGCATGCAGCCAGATACAAGGGCATGCAGTTTGATCTACTTTTCAGTAGCTCCGACGCTGTCGTAGGGAAATGTGTATAGTTTTTAAGAAATACATTTTTTCCATTAACTGGAATTTAATGAATTTTAAACAATACTTACTCTCTAAAAATGAAATAGTCAAAATTCTACTATTTGAATTAGTACCAGCATTTTTTACTAATAAAATAGTCGTTTTCACTTTTAAATAGTTATTTTTTACTACGTAAATAGTTAAAGTTTGACTAATTTAAGATTAGTCACCATATTTGACTATTTCTGACAGTTAAAAGTAACTAATTTCTTTAATCGTTTACGGCCAACAACAAAGTATTATTTGAATTAAATGCATATATCTCTCCATGGTTAAATGACCCATAAAACAAATAAAGATGCAAAAAGTTTAGCTCAAAACAGTAACACAAATAGTATATTAAACTTTAAAATATTATGAACAATATTTATTGACAAATAAAATTTACTTTTATAAAAGCGGCTGACAGCCGACTGGTTATGAGGTTAGGTTGACAAGCTTCTCAAGTGACAGACGTGAGTTCAATCCCAGGCTGGGTCAAAACTTTTTTTAAATTTAAATTTACTAATTTAACTATTTCATTCAGTGGAATTTGACTAATTATTAGTGACTGCTTTTTCGCTATGACAATTAGTCAAATATGACTTATAATTGGTTATTTTTGACTAATTCATTTTAAGAGAGTAGTTTTTGCAGAAATGCATTAAAACAAAACAAACGAATTCGATAAAAATAAAACCTATAAATTCTCAAACAAAAATAATTGTAAAATAACGAAAATAACTTTTTTTCTAAATTAAATGTTCAAATAGACCACCAGCAGCAGTTAAACAATACCCTAGCCTATGGGCATATATAGCATATATCATAAAAATTCCTGCGCACGTTAAACAGCATTTCAGGACTAATATCTCCCAATTTGAAACATATTTTGAAATAAAGTTTGTATTTGGCGATACGATCTACCAGTGTGATGCCATACCATAATTTGGTATTTTTCCTCACGGGTAAAAACCATTTTATTTGAGAAAATACTTTTTTAATCTTACAAAGACGTACGCAAAGTCTCAGTGCACTTCTTAAACTGACGCACAGATCATACGACCAGTGCTGCCAGAGCAGATGGTCGGATAATCCGTATATATTCGTGGAAAGGGTGGGGGGAAGCCTCGAAAAATCCGTAAAAATCCGTTTTTGTCTAAATTTCGAAAAATTTCTTCTATAAGGGGGATTTTCGTGACAAAACATACCTTTCGTCAAAGAAAATCCGAAACATCTCAGAATTTTTCGGGGGAGTTTCAGAAGTTTGAACCTCTTCGTCAGTGATATAATTCTCGTCACTTTCCATTTTTCACAAAATAAAGTATTTTATATACAGATTCGGATATATAATAAACATTGACTTTGAGATCAAAATATTGCCACAATGCAGTTCAATGCACTGAACTGGAGTCAGTATTGGTTAGTCGTTACTATTGGTGGCATTGCGCCGCTTATATATTGGCAGCAATAACAACGTGTTATAAAACCTTAACAAATGATATGAAACTATCGTTCTCTTTGTCACACTCAATGAAAAAGCATATGTTTCGCATATATTCGGCGTTTAAGAACCCTATATTAAGAACACATCCTTTTTCAATCCGCTTTCTTTTTCTGTCTAACGTAGTAAAAAGGAAGAGGAATAGAAGCGTGACAAAGATGATAAAAAAACGGGGCAAAAATGATGTTTTTTTAGTATTAGTATGAAGCTATCTTAAAAATCCGTAAAAATCCGTATTTGATGAAAATCCGTTCAAAATCCGTTTCCAATTTCTCTAGACCTGGAAAATCCGTAAAAAACGGATAAATCCGTTCATCTGGCAGCACTGCATACGACAATGATACGGCAAGCAAACAAATTCAATCCCTACCACAGTGGGCGGGGTTTGGAACTTGTTTTATTTATTTAAGTGTATCCATTCGTTTTAAATTGGTCTTAAAAAATTAAACAAAAATACCTCTCAATATAAATTTTCCTCCAGAAATCTTCTTCCAACCTCCCAGAGTCAAACCTGGCAACGCTGTGGTACCAGGCTCAGCCGGCTGCGGCAATGTTTTTTCGGCCTCCAAATCGACCTCCGCATTTTCCGCTTGTTTTGATACAAACTCCTCCAAACATACGGAGTATATATCGAAATAGTTGGTTCCATATGGATTAATATTCGATTTAAATAGGCTTATAAGTTTGTCCAGGTCCAAGAATCTCGTTAGACAGGGTCTTCCGATGGGGTCTTTTGACCCGTCTGGGCCTCTCTCGTGCGGGTCGTACATAAAGTATACAGTGGCACCTTTAAAAATGCCAACCAATAGACCTAGAACACGAAAACGTCAAAATAATGTTCAGTAAAACACATTGGCATCGTAGCATTAAATTAATAATTTGTTACTGAACAACAGGTAAGTCGATTTCTTTAAAATCCCTTAACATAACCAAAGAAAGGACAAGGTAAAAGAATAATACTTTTTAATATGGTAAAGAAACATATCGATAAAGGAAAATCAAAAAGTGTCAGTGTAACATTAACATCCGAAGAAACTGGTATTTCAAAAAATACTTGAATAAAGAATGTTTTACTAAAATAAGCAGGTGGAATCATTCTGTTAAAATATAAAAATATCAGCAGCATGAAGAAAAAATGAGGAGAGTTCCTGTTAATGATAAAATGCTGAAGGTCCAACTTTTAAATTTTCCAAAAATGTATAAAACTAAAGGGGCATTCCACGTTACTCGGTAATTTTTGTCCCGCTCGTCACAATTAAAAATTGTGAGTAAAAACTACAAGTTATAAAATTAATATTTTATAATATTGTTTTTATTGTACTTAAAACTTATTAAAAGCATAATAAAACCATATTTTTAAATAAATTTTATAACGTGTAGTTTATACTCACAATTTTTAATTGTGACGGGCGGGACAAAAATCCCCGAGTAACGTGAAATGACAGTAAAATTTAAAAAAATATTCTAAGGAAATATTATTAGTATCTAATAATTACTTAATTAATGCATAATAATTTAAATTCTATAAAAATGGTCAACGTTGTTTTTTTAATCAAAGTTTTATTAATTGCATTTATATTTTCTTTAAGCCTTACCTCAGAAAAAAATTAAATATAAAGTTTTTAACAGCATTTTTCACTGGGGTAAGTAGGGACCCCATGGTAGTAGTTACGTAAGTTGTTTAGAATAAGTAGTTTTGGCCTATAACGAGCCGTAATGACAATGAACGTTTGTTTTAAGGGATGTTTTTTATTTGCGAAAAAAATAACAAACTTTACGCTATAGGGGATTCCTAACAAGCGGACATATGGTAGGTATGTATATATTATATTAAAAAATGCAATTTTTAAATCCATGGATGTATGCCTACACCTAAATAAAGAAATGTTTTTTTTTTTGTTTATTTACCATTCAATTGTTCTTGCATTTTTAATTAAAGTTAATATTTGTTAATAACTGAATTTATATACACTGCCCGTCAAAATTAACGCATAATAAGTAAAAAAATTCTAACTCTTAAACGCCTTTACCAATCTTTATGAAATTTTCTATAAAAATACTTCGACAGTACGTGTACGAGGGTTTTTCAAAAAAATATTTTTTTCTACTCCCACCTTTAAAACGCCCTTTATCGTACATGTTTCCATGACACTAAGTGACTTTTTAAATACACATTGACAAGTTGTGGCTTTATGGCGCTTTAGTCACGGGCTGAAGTTAGCAACAGGTTTTTAGTCACGGGCTGAAGTTAGTTTTGAGTTAGTTGACACTTGTCAAATGTCATACAATCGTTAAAATAAAGTGTCTTTTTTGTAAAATAATACTAAATGTAAAAATTATTTTATTATCTCAATACAAAAATACAAAAATATTAAATAGTTTCTTAACGCCAATATTTGAAAAGTTTATATGAACATTGTACGAACCTTTTAATTTCGCCGGCAGTAAACTATAACTTAAATTCGGGCCCGTGCCTCCACTGTAAAGTCCTCATAAAACATTTCCTTTACTTTCACTGTGAAAAACAGTCAATTTTCAAGATACATTTCGATTTATAACCTTTATAATTCTGTTTATAAAATGTAAAAATGTGAATCTGAATGTGACATTTGAAGGTATCCCCTGTTGTTTCATAGATGGCGCTCTATACAAATTTTTGATTTAAATCATTTTACACTGAAAAAAATAAGCTGTTGAAACAACAAAAAAAATATTAATTCAACTCTTTATGCACTTTAAATACAAGCAATGGTTTTTGCACGTTTACTTAACCATCTAAAAATGTCAAATTGTATTGTTTAATTGAACAACAAATAACAGTCAAATGAACAAAATTAGGATATTTGTTCCAATCTGCTAATTTTGTTAATTTAACATTCTTAGAGTGTTAAGGCAACTTTATGAATGCAAATTTAACATTTTAAATTTTAAAATAACATTTACAATTTGTTAAATGAACAAATTTAATGTTGTGGATTAAACAGCAACTAAACGTTAATCTAATAGTTTTTTTAGGTAATCCCAACAATTTTAGTATTTGATTTAACCAATTCCAGCTATTAAATCAAAATAGGATAAAAACTTTAATTCAAACAATTAGTTCATGTAAGATCAATATTTTAAATTGTCAAATGAACAAATAAACTTTGACAAACTCTGACTATTGCTTTGACACCAAAATATAGATTAATCCAATAGGTTTTTTGTTGAAACAACATTTTCAAAAATGACATTTAGGCAAATGTTAAATCAACGAATATATTTTTTTCGGTGTAAGATAATAATAAGTATTTGTCGTAGAAAAAGTATAGTATGCACCTCGTTTATAAAATGGCGTTTATCAAACTTGATACATAATATACTATTAAAGCCCTTTAATTAAATAATAAAAAAAACGTTCTCAAAAATAGCTTTTACAGAATTTTTTTTTAAGTAAATTAAAAATATGGTGTAGACCGTATTTTTGTTAGTATACCCTAAAAATTTAGTACAAATCAAACGAACAGTAACAAAGATACAGCGCATCAAAGTCGGTAAAAATTACCCCTTTTTGATTATTTTGCTGAAAAATGATCATTTTTGACGACTTTGAAGCGCTGTATTTTCGTTACTGTACAACATTTTCAGGGTTTACTAACAAAAATACGGTCTTTCACAGGATATTTTTTATTTACTTAAAAAAAATTCTGCAAAAGTAATTTTTAGAACTTTTTTTTTATTATTTAATTAAAGGGCTTTAAAAATATTTTTTTGAAAAACCCTCGAACACGTAAAGTAGTAGAGTAGACCGGCAGTGTATAAAAATTCAGTTATTAACAAATAGATTAACTTTAATTAAAAATGTAAGAACAATTGAATGGTAAATAAACGAAAAAAACATTTTTTATTTAAGTGTAAGCATACATCCATGGATTTAAAAATTGCATTTTTTAACACATTAGAATTTTTTCGCTATTAGCTATTATCTATGGAAAATATTATTTGAAAATATTATTTTCACTGTTACCTATTTAATCGTTTAAATAATAACAATCATGTGATTTTTTTATTGTAAATTGTTAATTAGTTATACAATACACATTTATAAAGAAAAAAAAACAAATTATCATCCATAAAAAAATAAATCTACAGAGGAAAAAAACAAGAATTTCGTTTTGACTTCAACATTAACCTTTAACCAAAAATGTTAAGAGGCTTTTTTGTAAAGCATTTGATTTCCCATAAGAATATTTATCGGTTTTTTTCAGGGTACTGATTTTTACATGAATTACAAAATTCCAAAGTTTAAAGATCAAATTGTAAAACTATACCAATTTTTAAGGCATGATTGTAAGAAAACGGTTCATCTGACGGGAAATTCCAATTTAACCTTTTTTGTAAAACATTCAATTTTCTTCAAAAAATATTTTTAAGTTCTGAGTTTTGAGACAAAAACTCGATCAGGAAAAAAAAATCTAAAATTGCGATGATAGACCTCTTAATATTAATATTATGGACTCAAACTTTCACAATAATTTTTTTTGCCACCCAAAACCATATTTTCGATATACTCTAAAAAAAAAATGGTTGATTTTTTTGGCCCAGTCTAGGGTGGCATATGTTTAGTAGGAAAATCCGAATTGCACACGATGACTGGTAAAATTTTTGAGGAAAGGATTATAAACAATGTTGTTACCACATTTACGCTGCTGTAAAAAGTTAAATTTAAATTACCATTTGCCTCTAGTAAACCATGGGTATTGTTCTCAAAGAACTTCTCGAGGGCTCTTTTAAGATCCAACATATCCTCTTGGTCTTCCGGAGCAAATATGTGTCCAGTTTCAGCTCTCTCAATGTCAATTTTGACATAGTGCTTACCGACTCTCAATCGTTTATATATATTTTCCAAAGTTACTCTAACGTCGGCTATTATAATGTTAATTTCCTCTTCTCGAAGAGAGCTGTTGGCTAAAAAATATTGCAAAGTATAAAAATTGTCACCAGAAAAAAAACCATTTTTTTACCTTTCAAGTTCTGAAATTGGTCCTTCTTAATTCTCGTGTAAATTTTATCGCCATATGAAAGAATTTTGTCCATCGTATCAGGTGTGAACCTGTTTATCGGGAACAAATAATTGTACAAGAGGCAACAAAGACAAGCAGTCAAATTCTGTTTTCCTCTGTTCATTTCGGGAAACACTTCGTCATTAAGTTTTAAGGTGCCTAAAAAATTGTCAACCCTGAGTCATTCCAAATAAAAACACCAAATGGGGTGCGCCGCTTGATTTTTTATTTTGATAAAAAAAATTGAGGATGATCTTTTAGGTATCAAATATGAAAATTTTTGGATTCTTTACTTTTAATCGGCACCCTTTAGAAATCTGAAATCGTGTCAATTTCTTACTCTCTTTTAGTGGGCCAGAACTTTTATCCTGTGTCAAATATTGAAATGATTTTAATTTTGTTTTACTGTTCAGTAAGTGTGTTTTCGATATAAATTATTATTATCCAATTAGTTAATCTCATAAAAGAATGGTAAACCACTAAAGATTCATGATAATTTTCCAATTTTTGTGATTTTTGTCTGGCTCCTGTGCCTATTCTACTAAATCTAGAAAATTATTTTTTTTCAGGTATCAAGTACTTATACAATAGAAAACGTAACTATTATTTAAGTTTCTAGACTATCATTTTCTTTATTAAAAAAATTATTGAAACTTAATAATAATAAAAATCTGAAACTTTAGGAAATGTCCCCACCTTCATCTTTTCAGTCCAGTTGGTCTTGTTTTGTTATTTTTATTCCTTTAAAAGATATATTAATTTTTTTAATGGCCGTTTAGTAGCGATATTGTTAGTTTTATTTATAATTTAAAATTTAGATGGCTTTTATGTTTGGTGGATAAGTGTCAGAAATGTCAAAAATATTTTATAAATATTATTTGTGCGTATTTCTTTGGTAAATTTTGTATATAACATAATATGTCATATTATGTTACATACAAAACTTTTTAAAATCACCAAAGGAATACCACAAATAATAATTATGAAATATTTTTGACAGTTCTGATATATTGGGTAGTTATGTTATATTTTATGTATTGTATAATCATATATATATATATATATATATATATATTAGGGTGTCCCTTATTTTTTATTTTTTTACGCATACCCTCTAATTATATTTATTACGTGTTTATATACTCCCAGTAAAAATTTCAGCTCATTCTATAAACGGGAACCCGTGCCGACTTGCATCTGAACCCTCCGTTAGCCAACGTTAGGCGCGCGGTATTTTGTAACACGGTTGGCCGCTAGGTCTTCGATCGTAAGTCATTTTGTGTTTGTTATTATGTGACCCTTATATTATAAATTATTAAAAAATGTTAAAATATAGTTTTATTTATGTGTATACTTTGATAAAAATGTATATTTTCAAAGGGAAGTGGCTAGTTACCCGGAAGGGTCTAGTGAATAGGCCGTAAACTCTGAAATTGATAAACTTAATGGGATTTACTCTAAATAACTAAAAGAGTCTATTGTGAGAGATAACTACCGAAAACTGTCTGAAATATTTTTGGGAGGACATCAAGAAAAGAAATGCTTATTTTTAACAATTTAAAACTTCTCAGAACTTGAATATTTTCTATGAGAAAGAGGTACAAAATTATGATATGTTCTTGCATTTTTAATTGCAATTAAATTCATGAATCTCGAACACTCCGTCATTTATTTCACTTGCAAACTTGCAAACTTTTTGAAATCACCATTTAAATACGATCAAATAATATTTATGAAATATTTTTGACAGTTCTGACATTTCTCTACCAAACATGAATTGACTAAGTCAAAGCCATCTAATTTTTAAATTATAAATAAAACCAACAATATCGCTTCTTAACTGCATTAAAAAAATTATTATATCTTTTACATGGATAAAAATAACAAAACAAGACTAACTAGACTGAAAAGATGAAGGTGGAGACTACATTTTCTGAAAGTTTCAGATTTTTATTTTTTCCTCAACATAATGATTTCTGAGGCTAATTTTGAAAATTATCAAGTTTCAATAATTTTTTTAATAAAGAATATGATAGTCTAGAAGCTTAAAATAATAGTTACGTTTTCTATTGTATAAGTACTTTATACCTGAAAAAAGCAACTTTCTAGATTTAGCAGAATAAATTCTGCCTATAGGCACAGGAGCCAGACAAAAATCACAAAAATTGGCAAATTATTAGAAATCTTTAGTGGTTTACCATTCTTTTATGAGATGAAATAATTAGATAATAATTAGCAGTAAAATAAAATTACAATCATTTCAATAATTGCCACAGAAAAAAGTTTTAGCCTCTTATAAAAGAGTAAGAAAATAACACAATTTCTGGTTTCTAAAGGGTGCCGATTAAAAATAAAGCAACTAAAAATTAAAACGGCAACGGTTTTTCATATATGATACCTAAAAGATCATCCACAATTTTTTTCATTAAAATAAAAAATCATGCAGCGCACTTTTAAATTCGTTTTTGGTGTTTTCATTTGGATTGACTCTAATAAATGGTCGTTCTTGATAAAAGCATATAAATCAGTTGTATGCATAAAAACTTTATATTTTTGATGATAGAAGATGGCTCTATATTTTTTCCACGCCCAGGATAATTTCGAGAAAACAAGATAATTTATTTACCATTAAGAACCCATTTTCCCCTTTCGATTTCCACGAATTTGTACCAATCACCATCATAAATATTCTCCATGGTGGCCCCGGTATCAGGCCTGTGTTTTTCGACGATACTCAGTTCGTTTAACATTTCAACTTTGTGCAGTTTAAAATCTTTTTCCACCCTCTCAGAGGCTGGGATATTCGTAAAGACGTGACACACCAAGTCTTGCAGTAGTAAAAATTTCAAGGCACAGGCTCGTCCGTATGTTTCTATTTGCTCGTCCCAATATTCAGGGGGGTATTTAAATTTTCGATGCCTTGGTTTGCCCATTTCATCCCAGTTTCTGATAGGAAGACTAAAGTAATAAAAAATTATGTTAGTTTGCTAAGTGTTTGCTTATGGTCGTATAGCGCCCAAAATATTAATAACTTACACACTCACAGGCAAAATAATCGATCCACACAAATTTTCGATTAATTTCAATCGCAAATAACTTTTTTTATTTGATTTCGGATTTAAACAAATATTAAAAAATATTGTAGATACATTAAGGGAGAATCGCTCACATTTTAAAAATTACTAAAAAATACACGTACGTTTATAATATACAGGTTTAAACAAAAATATGTTTTTTACCATAAGTTTCAGACACTCTGTAGAGTGGCAAAACCATATATTGTTCTAAATAAAGTTTTAATTATCAAGTCACATCTATTTTTAACAGTTTTGTTTTTGGTTCACCTTGATATATTTATGTGTGTGGAAAATATGGAATTTAAAAAAAAACCATTGCAATTTCCAATATTTTTCCTGTATGAAGAACTAAGGTTGCTTTGGTCCATCCATAGCCTATGGAGGATGACAGTGACAGTTTTGTTGAATCATCCCATACTTGGACATGTCATATACACACTGAGAGAAATATCAAGTTATGAAGAGCATATGAAATTATATTAATTTAAATAATCGGGTAAATTTGATTTAAATGGAAAAAATTTTAGTTTTACATTCATTTACCAACAGTTTTACAATGTTTTGAAACACTTTTAAAGTGTACCCTCTTTAAAATATATATACAAAAAGAAATCCATTTATTTCATTGCCTTTCTCAAAGTTGTTTCAAAAAGATATGTATTATACAATTGTTATGCACCTATTAATTTAATGGGAAACACCAATGACGCCAAAACATATTTAAATCCCTAATAATTCAAAGGGATTCAAATATGTTTTGGCGTCATTGGTGTTTCTCATTAAATTAAAAGGTGTATAACAATTGTATAATGCATATATTTTTAAAATAACGTTGAGAAAGGCAATGAAATAAATAGATTTCTTTTTGTATATATATTTTAAAAAGAGTACACTTTAAAAGTGTTTAAAAACATTGTAAAACTGTTGGTAAATGAATATAAAACTACATTTTTTTCTATTTGAATCAAATTTACCTGATTATTTAAATTAATATCATTTCATATGCTTTTCATGAAATGATATTTCTCTGAGTGCAGCTTTCAAAAGCTATCAAATTGTTATTTGTAAATTATTGTGTTAATTTTGAGGTGTCTTCTTACTTTTAAAAATGTCTTCGACTGATGTTGCCCTTTGTACTTCTTGTGACGTTTAAAACACTTGCCACGTAATACTGTGACCGTCCATCTTGGATTAAATTAATGGCTCTGGCAACATCAGTCGGAGACATATCCATTTTTTAAAGTAAGAAGACACCTCAAAATTTAAACATTAATTTGCAAAAAACAATTTGATAGCTTTTGAAAGCCGTGTATGACATGTCCATGTATGGGATGATTTAACAAAACTGTCACTGACATTCCCCATAGCCTATGGATGGACCATAGCAACCTTAGTTCTTCATACAGAAAAATATTGGAAATTGCAATGTTTTTTAAAAAAAATCCATATTTTCCTCAAACATAAATATATCGAGGTGAACCAAAAACAAAACTGTTAAGAATATATGTGACTTGATAAATAAAACTTAATTTAGAACAATATACGGTTTTGCCACTCTACAGAGTGTCTTAAACTTATGGTAAAAAATATCTTTTTGTTTAAACCTGTATATTATAAAACTACGTCTATTTTTTAGTTATTTTTTAAAATGTGAACGATTGTCCATTAATTTATCTACAATATTCTTTAATATTCGTTTAAATCCGACATCAAATAAAAAAGTTATTAGCGATTGAAAATCATTGAAAATTTGTGTGGATCGATTATTTTGCCTGTGAGTGTAGAATAGAAAAACTTTTATGTTTGGACATCTATCTTGTAACAATTATTAAAATTGTCCATTTTCTAAAAGGACCAACCACGTTACTTTTACCCCTATATTTGTCAAGATGTACCTTTTGAAAAACGTTTTCACTTCAAAAGTTCCATCGTCCTCCTCTGCAGAGGGGGCGGGAGGGGCAGGGGCGTCAGATGGGGAAGTTGGGGCGGATGTACTCGGTGACTTTTTCCCCTTGCCACCAACCTTTTCTTTTCCTTCTTGAGCGTCGGGAAACTTCACATCACCGGATTCTTTTCTCTCGTCAGTCGCACCAGATTCACCAGTATCGACAAACTCGTTAGTCTCATCAGTCTCATTAGTCTCAACAACATCTGGAATGATACACAGATATGACCCAAACATATTGAAACCCACTGTTTTTTAACAAACATTGCTATTTAAATTTTATAAATAAAAAACAAAATTTTTGGGCGACTATTTTTTGGTAGGTACCTCTGCTGCTGATTTTATTACTCTCCACTTTAATATATGGGTGATTCTACAAAAGTTGGACAACTTGATGTCATCAGTCAATAGAGTAGGAATTTTAATATTTTTTGTAAATATTTCAGTATATTACAAAAGATCCAGGTTTTTTAACTTGTCCACCCAATTTTAATGTATTTTTTCAAAAGCACGTTTGTAGAAAAACATAATAAATATTCAAAACATCAGTACCTTGGCGTGTCACAACTCCTGAATCAAATTTTTGAGTGATTTTATTTTAAAATATATTCAATTTATCTTAAATTTTTCAATTTCACTACATACTATAAAACATTAAATAATGTATTTTTCATATTTTATCATGGATTCGAATAATAGCAATTTTTAAAAAATTTATAATCTTTTTACTCACTTTTACCCGTCAGTTCTATTTCCAATGTTAAAATGCAAAATTCCTGCGAAATATTGAAGATTAAACGTCAAGTCCTCGTTTTAACTCAAGTGTTGCTAAAAAATTACCTACAGAGCTCGCCCTTTGCACGACAGTCATCTTGAAAACAATGCAAGCGGTGAAGTTGTGGTGAATGCACGTATAGTTCCAGTCAAAATTTTAGTACTGTGGTGAGTAGTTATTTTCTTACGTATATATATTTCATTGTAATTTATATAAGGCTATGTGTGATTTGTTGATAAGTAGCATCCACTAATAAAAAATATCAGTAAAATACTTAATTCCGAATTATAATCTCAAATTTGTATCCCATTCATCAGTACCGTGTCGTCAGTTCCATGTTCGATGTTTCGGTTATCTTTTTTTCGCAAACTTTATTTGCGCAGAACTTGTTTATTTGATGTCATTATAAACTCATATAAATTTGGGTTTGGGTCCCATATCTAATAATTGAGATATCGGTATACCCAAAATCCACCAGCCGCCACTGATGTATGGTATTATTTGATTTTAAGATATTTAATGTATAATATGCTCAAAGTTGCAATAAATTATGTATTTAATTAGTACCCTGGTATACTCGTCACTTCCCTTGCATTCAAATTTAGACAACACAGATATTTCAGAAACTGTTTGAAAAAGTGACTGGCCCGGTCTGGAACAGTATGTTTATTATATTATCTATGTTCTCATAACAAAATACTGTTTAATTTTCTGCGAAAACTATATAAACAAAATGAGGTCAAAAGTTGCCCAACTTTTGTAGAACACCCATATTTATGCTATGAAATAAAAATAGAGTATCTGTGAATGTTAAATATAAATAAATAAATAAGTAAAAACTCTATTTTGCTTACCACCTGGGTCGTCCCAATCCGCTCTTCCAATAACATTCCCCTTTTTATCTCGTTGATTTGGGTCGTACAAATAAAAAGCGTTTTTGTCCTTAAATAGAGCGACTGTATAACTCTCTGTCTCTAGAATTGTCTCTCTGTTGACATCTTCCAAGTCTTCGTTGTCTAGATAGAAGGTTGCGAGGGTTTCTATTAATTTTTCCTTTATATTTCCTTCATTTACTGTTGTTACATCGAGAGTAAGCTTGTTGTACCCTATGCTAAACTCTTTCAAAACGTTATCCATGGTGATATCCTCTTGCTCCTTGTCTTCCCTGGCCTCGTAAGAATCCACGTAATGTTTATCTCCCTTGTCCAAGATGAGATCAACGTCAGTGGTGCACCATTGCGAACCCTCTTTAACTTTGTTATAGCCCAATGCTATTAGGCACGTTGCCAAAGTCTGCTTGCCGGCGTTTGCGACAAACTGCTCGCTCCACAGGCTATTTTGTCCCCTCAAAATAACAACCAATTCGCCGTCCTCCTCGCATCTGTGCCTGTATAAACCTTCGGCCGGTCTGGGTACCTCATCCACGATGTCCACGAATTTCATGTCAAGTTCGAACAAATTAAAGATGCCTTGCAAAACCCCTCCGACAGGTATGTTCGGCAACATGCAGTTTGCTAAGTCGACCACGTTGGTGGTGCGGACCAGCATTGCTCTTCCTCCAGCTAAAATTTTAGGTTTTGTGTACTAAATCAAATAAACACGCATCAATAGTATATTGTGTCTCAAGGGCAGAAAACTAGCTTTAGCAGCCCGCGGCTATTAAATGCGCGAGCGAGCGAAGCGAAGCGAGGGCAGTTGATAGCTAAGGGCTGCTAATGCGTTTTCTGAATGTGTGACACACACCTGTTTTTCGCCTAGCATCAAACAAATTATTTTTTTTAAATTTTATTAATATAAACGGAATTTTATAAGAAACTTCAGTAACAATTTACGAATTTATTTATTGTTGTATTTAATGTTAATTATGCCTTGAGCACAATTGTGGATAGTACCAGAATTTGAAGGCTTATTTCTACAGATGAAGTTTATGTTTCATTAGAATTATCTTTAATCTTTCCGATAGATAAGCAACTAATACATTTTCTGTTAAGTTTTTGGCTTTTTGATCCTTTTTCCAGTTTTTAAATAATTCATAGCACTTTTCGTAGGTACCGTTGCAACGCATTGTCTTAACATTGCTAGCTTCCTCTTTTTCAAATGTGGTCAAGTAAATTTTTCGTCACTGTCCGAGTTACCATTCATTTTCACTTTATTACAAAATTTAAATAAGGTTTTATTGTTATTTTATACTTTTGTTGTCCGTTTTTATTTTGATTTACACAAACGTCTGAAAATCTTAAATGTCAAATGCCAAAATACATAAATGTCAGTCAAAGGTGTCTAGATTGTGAAAAACTACAAAAATCAAGTTTAGCGGCCCTAGGGACGATATGAGTTTAGCGACCCTAGAGACAATAAATATTATTTTCGGTCATATTTTTAGGTTTGATATGATTCATTTTTATATGTGCTGGGCGAAAAAATAAATAATGTAATAATTTGCAACAAATCATCCACACCTCAAAGTCCCACCACGTGACCACGTACGGAACGCAGTCTTTTAAAAATTTGGCATGAAAGGCTTTTTAGGTTATGTATCTGTCAAAGTATAGTCAACGAAAGAAATAATATTATGTTTAGGGTTTAAAGATGTATAAATCTTTATAACATTACAATAACAATGGATGGTTTAAGAATTTAAGATAAACTGCATTTAATGAAATTCCAAAGTGTATGGTGCCAAATAAGTAATATTTTTGTTCTTTAACAATAGTAAATTGTTTTAAAGCACCCTTTCGCACAGATTAAAACTTTTTAAAACAGCACAGATAAACAAATCTCCAAAAGTAAACACAAAATCCTTTTGTCAAAATGACAGTTTTAAGTACTATTAATGTAGGCGTATAGAAAAACCACCAGAATGCCAGCTCGATATAAAATTTAGTCCGGCTAATTGTTCCCGTTTTACAGATGTCGCCATTGTAGAATAATTACAGTTTCCGTCTAATTTGTAAAATAGTTTCGACTTGCGTTTTTATGTTTTTCTGTGCGTTGGTAGGTGTATGACAGTTTCGACTTAAAATTTCTAGATGTCAGATATGTTTAAAAAGTGCGTTTTTATGTTTTTCTGTGCGTTGGTTGTTGATATTTATAGTATTAATTGTTTAAACTCTTAAAAAACTTTAAAATGAAGCTTTGCTTTATTTGTGGTCCATCCGAAAACGAAGTTGAAGCCTTGTTTTGTTTTCCAAAAAATCTTAACAGGTAAGTTCTTATAATTTGATTATTAAATAATTTTTGAGAAAATTGCGCATAATTTTAGATGTCCTTGTTTTCAATTAAACATGTATAAATAAATTATATTATATTGAATTATCTCTTAAATATTGTGGTTTTAGAGATAATTTAGAAAATTGCGAGTCAATTTTTTTCCTTCACACAGTTTTTTTTCACCTTGAAGATTAATATTTTTGCTAGGAGCTCCATATTATGACTCTACCTTCTCTTTATATTTACCATAGTTTGGTTGAGACCCACACAAAAAGACATAAATTTTTAACCCAATCTAATATCCATTATCACAATACCAGAAGTGCAAACCTAATCAGGCCCCTTTCTACGACTCGAGAAAAGCAAATTAAATGGTTTGGATATTAACCTGTATAATAAGCTACCACTATCAATAAAAAAAATAAAAAGTTTTAGGAACCAGATAAACATGTATTTAATAAACAGGACTTTCTACTCAATAAAGAGTAGTGGAGACTCCAGATTTAACATTATGTAAATATTATATTCTGTTGTAATATTGTATTTTTTATATTGTATTTGTATAACTTTTGTACCTTGATTTGCCATAAATGTTTCTTATGTAATGTGGTTAAATAAAGATATTATTATTATCCACTCAAGTGTACATGGATTTATTTTGGTATTTTTTTATTTTTTTGTATTTACTGAATATTTTAAGGATATTTTATTTAATAATATTTTTAAACGTTTTAGGAACCAGATAAACATGTATTTAATAAACAGGACTTTCTACTCAATAAAGAGTAGTGGAGACTCCAGATCTTAATTTTAACATTATGTAAATATTATATTCTGTTGTATTATTGTATTTTTTATATTGTATTTGTATAACTTTTGTACCTTGATTTGCCATAAATGTTTCTTATGTAGGTAATGTGCTTAAATAAAGATATTATTATTATCCACTCAAGTGTACATGGATTTATTTTGGTATTTTTTTATTGTATTTACTGAATATTTTAAGGATATTTTATTTAATAATATTTTTAAACGAAAAACTTATTTTTTTTCATTTAAAATCTCCTATCATACTTAAATGGTTCAAAATATGGTAAATTATGTTTTTATAATGTAAAAGTAAACTTAACTTTACTTTTAACACTTGTAAAAACTTAATTTTCTGTAATTTTGACGAAAATATCAATTTTATTAATTAAATCCTTCAATACATTTAAAATTCCCGCCATTAAACAGGATTTAAATTTGGCGCGCAAAAGCTACAGCTACGCCATCTGGAAAGCGGGAATTGGTAGTTTAGTGGATTACTTATAACAAGGCACTTAGCTCTCTGGTGGTTTCTCTATGGCGTATACTAAATTCGGTTGTACCAACTTAACGTTGACACCGCTGATCTAAGTTCAACAGAACTGCTGTTGACATTGAAAAACTCATTTGACTGTGAACTGAGTTCATTAACTGATCTAAGTTCCCCTGAAACAAGGTTTAAACCCTAATTGAAAAACCGGCCCTTAGCAGTTATATTTAGTTACACTTCGCTTCTGAAGATGCCAACATCGTTGGCGAAAAGTACTTTAAGCACTTTGTGTTTTGCTTTAGTGTTTGTTTAAAAAAATTACATAACAATAGACTATTAAATTAAAACTTACGTGCAGTTAAGCCTTTGTTATTTCTTGAATGCGAGTCAAAATAAAAATATTCACGTGGGCTCGCTTTCCAAAAACCAACAGTTATGCTTCCAGAGGTACAGAGTCCGTGAGTGAATGTTGTGAAGAAACTATCCAAACCCTTAAAAAACACTGTTAAAAAATTCTTCACACTAGAAGAATGTAGTCAACGCAGATCTGTTATGTTTCACAATTTTTGAGAAAGCGAGTTTATAAACAGACAATATTCTTACCTCTAGAAAATCCGGAAATTCTGCATTTTTTATGATATTACCATAAACAGCTGCCTTTGGGGAGCAGTGTACTTCTTTTTGAAACTTCTCCAAAACAGTCCTAGGCTGGATATCTTCTCCACACAACATTAATCCGGTATAATTGGGATCGCTTCTTCTAAGTTTTTCCATAGAATCTCTGTACAGCTGGTCTCCTTCCATTAAAATCTAGAAAAACAATAAATTAACATTATCAAGACAAATAGTCATTAAAATTCAGAAGATATGGAAAAATGAGGTCAACAGGATTCTTGATTCTTATTCTAAACTTTTTAATCCCTCTGGTCATCACTTTACTACTAATTCCTCGAGAAATTCTGAAGCAGTTTTGTTTTTACCATTTTTTAAACTGAACAAAATATTGAAGTTTTTAAAAACCAATCAGAGTGAGCTGTCGAAAGCGTATACGCTAAAGAAGTATCGCTAGTAGCGCCACCACTCGGCTGTTATCATCATAAGTAAAGTAGAACTTTTAATAATCAGCTGTCAAACGCTTAGGTTACAAACGAGTGTTTTTGAGAATAAAGCCGGAAAATGTTAAAAAATATCGAAAAAAAAAAACGTGGCTCGATTTGTTGTGTTGTTGGGTGTATTTCCAATAAACAGTGTTAATCTGAATAAAGAAATAAATTGCATACAGTCTCTGTAAATATAAATTGTACCTATTAGATACAATAAATACACATTTTAGAAGTGATTAACGTAAAAAGTGTAAACATTTCAATTCAGTAAAAATCGTCAAACAAATAAGTCGTCTAAATTAAAACAGCATTTAGCATTATTAAAAGCGTTGATTAAGAATTCTTTAAAGTCTCCACTCAACGGTAAAATACCATTATATTATGTATTATATATAATATTATGTTGCCATGAATTCGTAGGTATATTTTGTTGTTTAAAATGCAGTTGTCGGCGTTTTTTAGGAAACTCAAATATAAAAATGATTGATTTCAAGGTTATATTTGTGCAAAAATAATTTTTTACTAATTTCTTCTAAAGTTATCATTAGTTAATTCTGCACCAACAAATGTACTTTCCGACTTGGATCCTTTGGCAAAACATAAAAAAGCAACGATTTAGTTCTTGAATTTTATTTACATTTAATCTAACTTAACTGCGCACCAGTCAATGTGTCGCGACCAAAAATTTCGTCCTTTTTCAAAACGACATAACTTTTTTGTTTCTTGAACGATTTTATTTGGTTTGTGATGTCTGCTAGCCCCATTCTCTGGAAATACATGCTATAGATATGAAGCTCACGGTTCTTCAAGTAAATTTCCTACAGGGTGATATGTAAAACGGTGAAAAATTTCAATAACTTCATCCAAGCCCCGTTTGTAGAAAAAATATTTTTTTCTCGTTTTTACTTTAAAATAATGAAGTATTATGTCTTACCTTGAAATGTTTTTCAAATTTTTCGAATTGGAATCTTAGCAACAAAAATATGATTTTTTTTTCAAAAGGGTACATTTGATTTTTTTTGTAGGCAATACACTGAGCCTTTTTAAGATAAAAAAGATAAGATGGTGAAAGATTGTTCCTTGAATATTTCTGAACAAGCGACAAGCAACAAACTTCCATTTCAAAGGAACCTAAGCAAAGACCACTTTTTCAAAATGACATTTTAGAGAAAATTTGCGAAAACCGATATTTACGTTCGTGACATGTTTGCTTTATAATTTTGACCTCCTGATGTGATTCAGTTGTCAAATTTAAGTTTAAGATGAAACCAAAATCACCAAGAATCAAACAAAACAATTCCCGGCTGTTAAATGGGTCAATAACATGCCTTTGCCAATGCCATTTGGGGATTCATTTTTGTTTGAGTGGTTAGGATAATGTTACATAAATTACATTTAAATTGCGCACTAGTGATAACTTATTACTGATAAGTACCTACCTAATTGGTAATAAAGTTAAATACAAAATTTGTTTGTTAATTTTTGAAAATTTTATGCGAAGATATAATCATAATAAAAACTACAACATTCAGCAGAAAAATGTAACAAACAATAACAATAATAACTTTCAATATTTCGTTGGCCCTCCCCTAACCCGTAATAATTCGGTAACCCTCCTGAGCATTCCCTAGACCAAGTTCCTTAGAAATTCCTGGGGTATGGCTTCCTATTCTTCCTGAATCAAATTTACCAATTCATCCAAATTTTCCATGCGTCCTTTCCTCTCTTTCATCTTCAGTTTCATCCTGCTCCACACATGCTCAATAGGATTCATATCCGGAGACAAAGGTGGCCAATTCGTTCTCTCAATATCATGGTCCCTTAAATACTCATTTACGATATAAGCGCGATGCGGACGGGCATTGTTGTCCACAAACACAAATTATTGGCATTTAATTTTCATCATTTGATTCTTGATTTGATCATTCAGTGAAAATGCAAAACACAGTAAAAAAACACTAAAATCCAGCAATCAGATTTTATTGAGACATTTAACATCCAGGAATTGTTTTCGAATTTTGATTCTTGGTGATTTTGGTTTTATCTAAAACCTAAATTTGACAACTGAATCACAATCAGGTCAAAATTATGAAGAAAATATGTCACGAACGTAAATATCGGTTCAGGTTTAGTTTTCGAAAATTTTCACTAAAATGTAATTTTGAAAAAGTGGTCTTTGCTTAGGTTCCTCTGAAAATAATGGAAGTTTGTTGCTTGTCGCTTGTTCAGAATTATTCAAGAAACAATCTTTCACCATCTTATCTTTTTGTTCCTAAAAAGGCTGAGTGTATTGCCTACAAAAAAAGCATCAAATGAACTCCTTTGAAAAAAAATCATATTCTGTTGCTAAGATTTCAAGGTAAGACATAATACTTCATTATTTCAAAGTAAAAACGAGAAAATATTTATTTTACAAACGGGGCTTGGATGAAGTTATTGAAATTTTTCACTGTTTTACTTATCACCCTGTAGTAAATTTACTTGAAAAACCGTAAGCTTTATATCTATAGCATGAATTGCCAGAGAATGGGGCTAGCAGACATTACAAACCAAAATAAAATCGTTCAAGAAACAAATTAGTTATGTCGTTTTGAAAAAGAACGAAATTTTTGGTCGCGACACATTGAGTGGTGCGCAGTTTATATAAGCATTTAAGCGTTGAGTTTCTTAATCAATGATATAGGGAATAATCAATCTAAATCGAGTACTAAAAAAGTTTTTTATTTTTTTCCTTGCAACGTAAAACACAAATAACGTGCGCGATTTAGCTGTGCAATTGAACAAAATTTGTCGAGTAAGACTTCTGCCTTCTTCTCTTTTGTAAAAAAACTACCTATTTATTTAAAAATGATGTAAAATATGTGCTTTATTGTTGACAAATCTTAAATTCACGAAATGCATTCGAAGTCCACCAGATGGCGCGCGCGTTGCGAAAACCCGATACTTCTTTAGCGTATTGACGGTTGTCTTAAACCACAATTTCATGTTGACGCTGCATGGCACTTAGCGTCCAGATTACTTACTTCATTGAGAGTATCCTTGGACCAACCACCTAACTTATTGTCCAGTATTGAATACATCAAAGACATCGATGCCATGGCTGTACATTGATTACCTCGACCCTCATGGTCAAATCTGGCATCACCTTGAGAAAAATCTGCCAGCATTATCCAACGATTTTTTTTGAAACCTTGAAGAAGAATAAAATTAGTTTTAGGAAAACTAAGAAAAAACTTAGTTTACGCGGATGCTTACCTACAAAGTTGTAAAAATTGGGAGGCAGTTCAGGGTCATCCAAAATTCTTATGGCGCTCAAAGTGAACAAATCGTGTCTATTCTCCCTTCTAACATTGGTCATGTAATGTTCGCACAGGTCCGCCAACTGCATAAACCACATAACGCAAGACACACCTCTGGGGACATCCCCCTCCCCTCTGTTGGTTGTACTGACTTCTATTCTTCTACCCTTCTCGTCTCTCTCGTTGGGGTCAAATAGGTAGTAACGCCTAAAATAGTATTTGTCCATCTACTGTTAAATTTTATGTTAATGGACAATGTAGTTGTTACCCTTCTTCTTTCCAAATTGCGACCACCAGAGGTCCTCCAACCATGCAGCAATTGTTATTAATCATAAAGTTCTCCAAGGCTACGAATAAATCCATTCGTTCGTAATACTCAGAGGAGAGTTGTCCGTAACACTCGTTTTCTTTAAAGTCCAGCATGTAATTGTTTTTCAACATAAAGTGTATTTTGGGAAAGTCAGTCAGGCGTAGTTCCATTGTCAAAGGTTTCTTTTTTCTTGCCTCATTGTAATAAATTTCACCGTATTGATGTATGTCGCAGATTTGGCTACAAAAAAGACATTTAGTTTTTTATGTCGCCGTCTTCTTGACTATTTGGTTTCATTTGACTGGCGCAGTCGCTTGGATATAAAACCAAACATTATAATGATGTTTTTGTATTTTTAAAAAAATGGTGGTGTTATTAATATAGTTACGTGTTTTTCCATGCTCTTGCTCTGTATAGTCTTAGCATAGTGAAGCATGCTATAACATTACCCATGGCTTGCTTGGTGTTGTATTTTGTAAATGTATTGTCTGATTGGAAAGTGCGACCTCTTAATATTCCTACCATCCCTGATACAAGGTCTGAAAAATAACAACAAAATATATTTCAAAAGATCACTCAAGAAAAAACTTCAAAAGAGTTGTATAAAACAATGTTTCTTATGATTTAGGACTTTGTTGCTCTCACCCACATAACGAGACAGCAGTTTGGGCTTTATTCTCTGCAAAGCCAGTTCGTCTGTAACCGTAATCTGCTTTTCTTGGCGATTTTCTTTTAGATTGTCTATATCAACTTCTAAAAATTAACATCAATTAAATTATATTTGTGACGAAAATACACTGTTAACAGGACTTACCTTGTAAAAATGATGGTTTGTTTGGTATATCGGCTGTGGCCTCTGGATTAATTTCCAGACCAGCTTGTTCTATTTTTCTTTTTTCGGCTGCCTCAGCCAACTTTTTAGTCATCTCCTCCTCAGTTTCAGGCGTTTCTTTTTTGTCTTCTTTCTTATCTTTTATTGGACGCTTTGGAGCCTCACCTTCTTGATCCCCTAGAGAAAGATTTCCAAGAGTTTAAAAAGATTTTATACATGGTTAATCCATATAATAAGGGCAAATAATTGGATTAAACAACATTTTAATTGCAGGCTTTCTTTCAAAAAATCTTATTAAGGTTTTTAAAGAAACTTTGTAGAAAAATAATTTTGGTGGCAATGTAAAGTTGTTTAAAATTATTTACAAAGGGGCCTTTTGTCCGTTTGACCTTGCATGCTGAGACACTGCTTGTTTTTTTAATTGATGGGGGCCTATTTAAAAAGCATAAAACCAAAATTGCACCACCTGACAATTTTTTTACAACGATATACGCAAAAATACATTTTTTCAGTTCTTAGTGAATATCCTGGCCCCCGTATGCTGCACAATAAAAAGTAAAAAATCAAATTATTTTTTATAAAATTTCCTATAATTTTTGTCTAAAGTCTTTTTTGTTTAAGGAACACTATTCTTTTTGAACATTTCATCCAGTGCAGGCGTAGTTGGCGAATGTTTTAGATCCAGAATAGGCTTAAGCCAATGATTACATCTGAGTGAGAAGAAACAAAACCATCATTACTTGTCGACATCAGACCCGGGTTAAAATGTTTTATAGCTTAAAAATTTGACGGAAAAATATGTTTAAACTTTAGATATATTGCCATTGACTTTGACAAAGAGATATGGTTTCCCTAACAAAATACAGCGAATCTGAGAAAGGCCCAGACCTACCACACGACATTTCCACTAAAATAAAACAGTCAAAGGATCATAAACATAGAAGACATAAATATATTTTGACGTGGATTAGACCTACAGGAAATACCTGAGACTCTTCCTCTCAAGTATAAAGCAAATTTGGTTTTAAGCTTCTCAAATAATATCGATTTATGAAAAACAAAACAGACAGTACCACGGTTTGACTGGACTATTTTTTAATCAGGTCAAGAAATATGATTTTTTTAAATAAATTCTGTAAAACGGTAAATCCCCCATAAAAAATACATTTTTATGCTGCAATAAAATACCTAATTTTTTGCATTCTTTTGATTCGGGTATCTTCTTGGCAATGACATCTTCATAATCTGTTGGAGCCCCAGTATCGATTTTTTCGATCTTTAGTATTGCCACCGGGGTGATGCTAAAGCTGACGCCACTGCCAAACGACGGAAGATTTTTCAGTAAAACCGTACTTAGACTTTTTACGCCGCCAGTTTTACCAACCACACTGAAACCTTGTCCTCTAGGCATCACGTCCAAAGGCTCGCCATGTTCTGTGTGATCTCTGGGGTCGAAGAAATAGTAATCTGCAAAGAAAATTATGTACTATGCTCCACACCTCAAAGGCCCACCACGTGACCACGTACGGAACGCAGCCTTTTGAAAATTTGGCATTTAAGGCTTTTCAGGTTATGTATCTGTCAAAGTATAGTCAACGAAAGATATAATATTATGTTTAGGCGTTAAAAATAAATCTTTATAACATTACGATAACAATGGATGGTTTAAGAATTTAAGAATATAAATACTGCATTTAATGAAATTCTAAAGTGTATGGTGCCAAATAAGTAATATTTTTGTGCATTTGGTCCAAATATCTGGTTTTCTCCATAAAATAATTTTAACTAAACAGCATTTATTAAAAAAATCTAGCTTCTCTATTATGGAATAAGAATATCTGTATTAAAGGTAGGGTAATATACATATGTATTATAACAAAAATATCATCTAATTTTGTAATTTTAAGGTTAGAAAAATTTATTTTGACCAAAATAAGTATTTTGGATTATTTAAAAGGCAGTATAATATGTTATTTAAAAATGTGGTAGTTTTTCTTATCCAGCTTAAAGTTTACCTACATAAAGTTTTGTCAATACAAATAGTTAAAAAGCTTCGACTGAATTTGATCTACATCGAAAAATCATTATAACTTTAATATTTTAATAAATCACATGTCATGGGAGTATTAAATATTTTCAAATTGCAAGTTTCTCTAAAGTAGGTCACTCTTCCAAATAATCCACTTATTTATTTTGGTCAAAATAGATTTTTGCAACCTTAAAATACAAAATTAGATGATATTTTTTGTTCTAATACATTAACCTACCTTTGATGCAGATATTCTTATTTCATAATAGAGAAGTAAGTTTTTTTTTAATAAATCCTGTTTAAAACTATTTTATGGAGAAATGTAGACCCAATGCACAAAAATATCACTTATATTGCACCTTACACTTTGGAATTTCATTAAATGCAGTATTTATATTCCTAAATTCTTAAACCAACCAGTGTTATTGTGATACTATAAAGATTTATTAACTTTTAACGCTTAAATATAAGCGGTAACACTATAAATATTATTTCTTTCATTGACTATACTTTGACAGATACATAACCTGAAAAGCCTTAAATGCCAAATTTTCAAAAGACTGCGTTCCGTACGTGGTCACGCGGTGGGACTTTGAGGTGTGGAGCATAGTACAAATATATTGCGGTGATTAAAAAAGTACTCACAAGTTTTTCCTTTCTCTGTACTTTTCCATATACAGAAGCTCTTGTAATTCACCACTAGTACTCCGGAATTATGGTTCATATCGAAGAAGAATTTAATCAGTTCGATAACTTTCGCCATCTTTGAACACTCTTTAATAACTTCCTCCACACCCAGTTCTGTTTGTATTTCGATAAGGATTTTATGTGCGCCGTGGTAGTAGTAGTTAATAATTTGGCTCAAATCGAACGGAGCCTCCTTGCATTTCATTTTTTTTCTCGATTCTTCATACAAATGGTGACCAGATTGCAAAATGCTGGATACCACGTTGTTATCCCAATCCTTGTAGTTTTTGATTACATTAATTGCGCCACATGCCACAACACTGTTAGTTAAGTCTAAAAAATTAAAAAAAAAATTTGTGAAGTTTGTTGGGTTAACATTAGACTGGGTCAAAAAAAAATATTGAAAAAGTTTGAGTCCATAATATTAATATTAAGAGGTCTATCATCGCAATTTTAGATTTTTTTTTCCTGAGCTAGTTTTTGTCTCAGAATCATTAAGTTTAACATATATTTTAAGGAACTTGAATGCTCTACAAAAAGGTAGTACATAGTACATAATCAAAAGTAATAGAGGTAAAATTCTGAAAAAATTCACGGTTAGCGAGTTATAAGCCAAAAAGCAAAAAAACACCTCTTTCGGGGATGAAATTAGGGGACTCAAAGAAATTTTTGGGGAATATTCTTGATTCATTATCAGCACCCCTAACTCTTCATAAAAAAATAAAACCCGACCACCATCGAGTTTTCCTTCTACAATCTTTGTTTCCTGTACCAAAGGGTGGGCCATGTTTATGTTGAATTATAAAATAGCAATGAGAACAAGAAAAACTGAGTTTTTTTCAACAAATTTTGCTTTATTTGATACAATGTTTCTTCCGATTAAGTATGGAGAATGATTTTATTTAAGTGGCCACCTCAGCTGGCTCGGCAGTAGCCCATCCTGGAACACCAATTTTCGAGCACTTTGTCAAAAGTTTGCTGCTCTATTTAGGCAATTTGAGCTTGAATGTTTTGTTTTAAATGGTGTATAGGCTTTGTTACGCCGACGTGTGGATTTTCCGTGGCCCAAATCCTACAGTTTTGCTTGTTGACATAACCTCCGAGGTAAAAATGCGCCTCATCCGAAAAGATGATTTTTCTTGCAAAATTAGGGTCATCGTTCAACTGGTTTAAAGCCCACTCAGCAAAGCGAAAACGTTGTGGATGGTCAACTTGCTTTAACTCCTGAACAAGCTGGACTTTGTACGCAAACATACCGAGGTCTTTGTGCAGAATCATCCTCAAAGTGGTACGGGAAAGGCCGAGTTGTTGACATCTGCGCCGAGTTGATGTTGACGCGTTCATGCGTACATTTTCGGCCACAGCAGCGATTGCTTCAGGTGTACGTCTAGGACGAGCAATGCTCGTCGAGCATGCGAAACAAGTTTTATGTCCACCAGCATTCCATTTCTACGCAATTTTTTGATCAAATTTGTAATACTTTGGTTTGACGGCGCCTCATTTCTTCCAAACGCAATTTTCTTGCCGTCCCTGCGATCACAGTCACATTCAAAGTAAGTTTTGAGTATTCCGAAACGTTGATCCAAATTTATTCGGGCATATTTTGTAATCGGAAGGTTAAAACTAAACCACTGTCAACAATTCATGGCGCTTAAGTTGAAACTTAGTAGTTTAAAATTCAACTTAAAGATGGCCTACCCTTTACTATTAGGTTAACTTATTTTGTTCTAAGAAATATTATGCATTAGAACTTACCTTGCTGTCCAGCATACTTTCCAAACCTCTTGTGGGACTGGCTGAACCGACCAATGAGGTACCCGGGTTCAGTTAAGCCGTCGTAATATTTGAAGGGGCCCCAACATTTAAAGTTTCTGGTGTGGGGGACGTGTAACGTTTTCCCGGCCGGTGATGGCGGTTTGAATTTGGGTTCGGGTTTCGGCTTAGGTTTCCTCTTGTCCGGCGGAATCCATTTTCTTTTCGGCGAGGGTAGAGGAGGGGCTTCGTATTTCGGGGGCGGTGGAGGTTTTTTTCTTCTGTCTGGAGGTATCCAGTGGTGGGTGATTGTCGGTTTTGGTGCTTCATATTTTGCAGGTTTTGGAGGCTATAACGCATAAAAATGTTAAAAAATATATATTGGTACACTGCGCGTCAAAATTAACGCATAATAAGTAAAAAACTCTAAAGCGCCTTTACCAATAAAATTTTGGATACAAATACTTTAACTTATATAGCCCGTTCAGATTAAAACCGAATATATCTATATATATATATATATATATATATATAGACTTATAAACGCTCTTATACCGGCCCGTACAAGATAACTTTAGTACGTTTTAAAGCCCAAAGCGACGTTATAAAACCCGGCTTTGGGCTTTACAACGGAGCCCGAGTATATAGTAACCATTCGATTCTTCTTTCTTTCTGCACCCTCCTGTTAAAATTTTTGATGGGCCTCAAAAAGTACTATTTATGCATTCATTTATACAAAAAGTTTGGAAAATTTCACTGTAGGGGGCGCTTCTGAGTATATATTTATACATTTATATTAACGTATCGTTATCAGCCCCTAAACTTGGCAACACTGCTGGGCCCGACAACGCGCGTACAATATATTTTTATAAATATACGGCGGCTTTAGAAATTAACCATAAAAGCACTATATGTTAGCGGATATTTTATTGTAGCAGTTTACTGATCTATAAATTGCTGTTGAAGTCCAAAGCGACTTACAATTTTTAAAACCGCGGAACTACACCTTTTTTTTTTAATTTTTTGGGTTTCCTGTAATTATTTGGTTCCAGAATTCAATTATAAATTTATTTTATTTTTAATAAATTTGCGAGGTTGGCAGAGGAGCTAAAATAAGTAATTACAATTATTTATTCGTGAATTACAATTTTTAGTGTATTCCATTTATAACTGATTTATATATTTACATGAATCCCCTAGGGGCAAAGTGGTGGAAAAGAGGATAAAATAAAAAATATACATAATATATTCACGGTGCTGTTCTGAGAGGTGATTTTTGGACTTTCTGTGAAACCTAATTTTTTTATATATTCTTGTTAATTAGGTCATAACTAAGAATTTAAGAGCAAAATAAAAAAAATCTGACGGTTTGAATTGTTTTAATTGGCTGTTTATTAAAAATTTTATGCACTCTTTCAATTATCCAATTAAAACTAGCGATTTAATTTAAATAGTAACTAAAAAAAAGGTTTTTACAATTTTTTTTCATATATTTTACTGTTTTGTTGCAATAAACGTTCAAACTTTTAATCTAACCTTTGACGTATACATTTATGTTCCCTTAATTAATATATCCTTAAAGGTTGCCCTGAAACTTAGATCCATTAAAAATTTATTTGACGTTTGAATTGTCATTTTCAGAATACGTATTCTATAATTTTTGTTCTCTCAGAATCGCAAGTTTTAATTGGAGAATTGAAAGTGTGCATACATATTTTTAATAAACATCCAATTAAAACAAAATTAACCGTCAAATTTTTTTTATTTTGCTCTTAAAATTTTAGTTATGACCTAATTAACAAGTATATAAAAAAAAATTAGGTTTCACAGAAAGTCCAAAAATCACCTCTCAGAACAGCACCGTGTATTACTAATACTATTATTCCCAAACTGTTAGTAATGATTGTTATAAAGTTAGTATAGTATTACAAAAGTTGTTCTGGTTTTACAAAAAAAGTGGCTGACTTTTATAGCAATTAATATAGAGAACTGTTTAGTAATTAGTACTAAAAAATTAAAATGGCCTCAAGTAATTAATGGATGCCCCCTAATTAATTACCACTAGTACTATTTGCAACTACAAATAATATTTGCTATCACACACCTTAAAATATTTGACATATATTTTTAATTGCGAGTTGTAATTGGAGGACAATTTTATCGAACAAATGATTAAAAAATTGATAAATTAAAAAATATTTAAATGGTAGCACTAGTGTCATATTCGCTGCAATTTGTACTAGTCCAATTTTCTAAACAATTACTCTGATAGGCCAAAAATTGTCAAATAAAGCTCAGAGCCCTTGGTTTACTTTTGGCAGATGACAGGTAAAAAATTGCCCTACATAGTCTAAGCGATTATTGGAATTAAAAATATATTAATATTTCACCATAATATTTACTTTTATCATACACACATTTTTTATATACAGGCGTTGAGTGAAGGAGCAGTTATAAAGAAAAGAGACTAAAAATTGTTTTTTTCAGTAATGTGACACATTTTGAAAGTCTATACGCTCACAAAACCCCTGTTGGTTATTATTCTAAACAAGAACATTTTTAAAAATATTCGATTGTAGTTAAAAAAAATACTGCCGGCCAATAAATATATTTTTCAAATTTATAGAAAACACCTAACCCCTTACCCCTTAAGGGGTAAACTTGATTATATCTATAATATAGATTCTACATATCATTTTATGCATATGTACGGAGAGAACAGTTTTGGGAATGGTTACTAAAAAATTTAGTAATTTGGGGACAGCTTTAATATTTTAGGAGTGAGCGCTTTTGTGTTTAGAAATAATTTTCATATATTTAGCATAAGTGTTGTTTGGCAACTATGCCTTTACTGAAAAATAGTAATTACAAAATGAAGGAAGATCTAAACTTAAGTTTAATAACTATAACTATACTATAATTATAGTAGTAACTATTTTGAATTTACCATTAAATTTGCACAATTAAATAATAAAAATTAATTTAACCGAATTAAACGATAACCAACAAAATGCAAAAGATAGCCGACCAGGGCCGAATTTACCGAACAGACAACGTAGGCAGCTGCATAGAACGGAAAAAATTAGGGGTAACTAGACAGTAGTGTCGAGCTGCGAGGAACTAGACAGTAGTGTCAATATTGGAACACTCGATCCAACTTGCAATTTCCGAAAACAAATAATATTAAAAGCTCAGATGGGATGAATCTAGAGATGAAGGGAAAACTTCAATATAAATACTTTGGATGAATTTGGGCAGAATTTTTTCTAAATTAGTATAGCATACAAAGTTCTTGATAAAAAATAACCAAGAATTTTTGCATGCATTGTTTGAATAAACACTTCGTGACAAGTGTCTTCAATTAAAAAATTTCAAGATATAGAATGTTTAAGGATAAGATGATGATGAAATGAAAAACTACTTGAGATAAAAATTTGTTGAAGAACGATTAAACGCACTCTCTCTTAGCTATAGATTTAGATTGTCTCATGTCTTATTTCTATATTATAGATACGCCAAATTTCTAAATCCAAACCTGTAGCCGACTACATAGAAAAATAATATTGGGAATTTGCTTCCACACTTTTAGTATATTAATTAAATACAAATTATTAATATATTGTGAAAAGTTTTAATATAACTTAAAACTATTATTGAAATGTATTCTAAATTAAAAAAGTAATAAATTATTAACTTAATAATGACACGTTAAATATTAATTATTAATATTTTATTTTATAGTAATTACTAGGGATCGGATTTTAGTTATTTTACCTTTTTTCAACCGATGTAACTATTTGAAAACCAATAATGCCAAAATGTGTTTTAAAAGATTTTCTTTTATATGAACCTAACTTGTTTTCACCTTTTTTACCTTTTTTGGAGGTTTTTGCTTTATACTACCTTTTTTATACTTTTGATACCTATTTTTTTAAATTGTTTTCACCTTTTTTACTTTTTTTGGAGGTTTTTGCTTTAAACTACCTTTTTATACTTTTGTTACCTATTTTTTAAATTGTTAGTTTATTTTCACCTATTTGTTACCTATTTTTACGTATTTTTACTTATTTTATTTTTTTGTGTTCTTTTTAAATTTTGCGCCAATATTTTATGCAGGGCGTGCAACTCAACGGTATAGAATTTTTTCTTATGGTCACAGACTGTAGCAGTAACTTTCTTTGCAGTTACCTTCTTTGTAGTGAGCTTATGTTTTGTCATAGAACTTCTGTGTAGTGAGTGTCACTCAGTGAAACACAGTTTCTTGCATAGAAATAGTTTATTGTGGGTATGTTCTGTGTTTGGGTATGCGGCTAAACAAAATTATAAAAAATGCCCAAAACTAAAGAAAATAGCTATCTGTTTGTTACTCTAGTAGTAAATTTGGTAAATATCAGGTATTCCCTGTTATATTTTCAGTTCCTTATAGCTTTAATTAACTATTGGTCAGTTTATAAAAAAAATATTTTATATTACTTATTTTATAAAAATAAACGAAACTTGAACTTTTAATGTTTTTTTTTACCTAAAATGCTGTTTTTTTAACCTAAAATGCTTTTTTTTAGTACCTTTTTAGTTACCTATTTTTCAGTTTTTAGTACCTAAATATCCCATCTTTAGTAATTACTATAATAATATATTATGTATCAAGTTTTATAAATGATATTTTAGTTAAGAGTTTAATTAAGCAAGAGCTAAGCTTGCGAGCGAGTGTTTAATAAAAACTAATGTCTAAAGAAGTTTATAAACGAGTTTATACTCTATCTACGACGAACACAAAACAAAATTTAAGGCAAATTTTATTTGTTAAAAATTTGACATCTGTCAACTGCCACCCGGATTTAACCTCACATTTTCTAAATTTATAATATAGCTAACTTAAAAGGCACTGTTGCTAACTTCAGCTCGGGACTAAAATGCCATAAGGCCACAGGTCGTCAATAGAGGAGTAGATAAAATAAAATATCAATAATTAATATTTACGATTCATTACTTTTAAGTTAAAAAGTTAAAAGTTTTAACAATCAATACCTACGAAATATTAATGGTAAAATGTTTAGTAATGGTTATTTTACAGTTCGTATACTTTTACAAAATGTTCTGGTTTTACAAATAAAGTGTTAAATGCATAAGTTTTGGGTTTTATTAAGAATAGATTAAAAGCGAATGGTAAAAAAAATATATTGCAAGAAATTTAAGTCAGATATGCCTTAAAAAATGTATGTCGTTGTTTATTTATACTTAAAATTTATTTTGCAAACATTAAATCTATCAATATTAATTTTTTCTTAGTGTTCTATAGGATTTCAAGATATTTAAAATAATAAAAACTTCAATAAAAATATTTACATT